AGGAATGTTTTCATCAATCATTACTCTGTACCATTTTCAGCCTGGATTGTGAACTCTCCGTAAACATTGGTTGAATGAAATGAATGAATGAATGAACGAACGAAGAAATGAACAATGAAATACATCCTATGTTGGCTGTGACAATACTAATTTTAATTAAAAGGCAGTATTCAAGAGGACAGGTGTTGATTTCAGACAAGACTGTGTTCAGATATGGCCTCCTCCTCTTACTAGTTATATAACCTATGCCTCAGTTTCCCTGTCTGTAGAGCATGATTGTGAAATCTCCCATCTCACAGGGTTGTTGTAAAGATTGCATTAGCTCATGTCTGGACTAGAGGAGGTCCTTAGTCGATAGCTATAGACTGCTGAACAGTAAATAGCTGTCGTTATTATTGAAATCTATATTTGCTGGAGGTTGAGACTGGTCTAAGTGCTAGTTTCGCTTCTTAGTGAGCACATAGTCATTCATGAAACAGATATGAATTAAGTGTCAACTCAGTGCCAGGCTCCAATGAAGGATAAATTCCTTAACCCCAAGAAACTCACAGTGGGAGTGGGGTGTGTGTTAGTTGGGATTTTCCAGAGAAACAGAGCCAATAGAATATATACAGACATTTGTTATAGGATTTGACTGACATGGTTTTGGAGGTGGAGAAGTTCCATGGTCTGCAGTCTATAAACTGGAGAACCAAGAAAGCTAGTGGTAAAATTAAGTCCAAGTGCAAAGGCCTGAGCATTGGTGGCAAATGATACAAATGCAAGTCTCAGTCCCAAAGCCTGAAAATCACGAGTGCCAATGTCCAGGGCAGGAAAATACGGATGCCTCAGCACAAGCAGAGAGAGCAAACTGACCCATTCTCTGCCTTCTTGTCCTATTCAGGCCCTCCACAGATTGGATAATGACCACACAGGTTGGTGATTTTCTTTAGGAAATCTATTCAAATGCTAACCTCTTTCAAAGACATCCTCTAGAAAATAATGTTTACCAGCCCTCTAGGCATCCCTTAGACCAGTCAAGCTGACACATAAAATTAATCATTACAGGGTTGGGGAGAAGAGAGAGAGACAAATAAAGAGAATTATGTTAAAGGATACTCAAGCAAAGACATATGTACAGGAATGTGTGTTGTAGGATAGTTTATAATTTCAAAATAACTGAAAACAATGATCCAATAAAATAGGGAAAATGGTTAAATAAATTATGGTACATCCATTTCAAGGCATACTATACAGTCATGAAAAAAGAAAGAGGTAGACCTCCGTGCAGTAATAAACAATGAACTTCAAAATACATTGCTAAGGATAGTGCTGAAGGTAAAATATATCCATGCTTACACAAATAAATCTTCATGTATTATGTAGATATATGTATGCTGTATATCTATAAAATGCTTCTAGAACTATGCCTAAGAAAATGATAAAGGTTATCATATTTGGCAAGGTGGTTTGAGAACTAGGCAGTCTAAAATGGGAAGGAGACTAATATTTCATCATATATCCTTGAGTATTATTTGGATATTTCACCATGAGTTTGTAATAAACTAGTTCTGGCAAAATGGCAAATGATGACAGACTGAAAATTCCAATCCTTCAAACACCTAGATATGGAAGAAAAAATATTAAAAAATTTCTTTTAAGTGCTTAGCTGACTCACCATAAAGAAAGGAAAATTCCCGAGTGGTAGAAATAAAGAAGTAACTGAAAACAAGAATGGTAAGCATGCAAACTCATGCTGTGGCTAAGAGGTAGAAGGGGGAAGGTGGTTGGCAGCAGGGGAAAAGTTTGTTTGTCTTGGTTTCCTAGGGCATAGGGTTTTAATGCCCATGTAGGAGAGAAGACAAGGCTTTGGGATGAAGAGAAGCAGGAAGTTGTTCAGACCTTCCCAGAAAGCCGGGAATACTCACTGAGGGCTGCACTCCCAGTGAACAAATAGATTAGAAAAAATGTCAACCATCCCAACATAACTTGTCTATCTCTACCTGAATTCTGAGTGGGAGAGAAAAGTTTAGCTGAGAAAGAGAAACTCTAGGCTTATGCCTTCCTTGAAAGTGGAGTACTAATAGCAAAAGTCAGAATCAGGAAGCTCTACCTGAAAAATTAACATAGAAATTAGTCCAATGCTTTTCATGATATGCCAAGAAGCAAGTGAAAAATGACCTTGAAGATCCAGTCCTATAACGAGAGCTACAGCTGGGCATGCAAAGCATGAGCTCCCAATAATATATTAATAATGCCCAAGAAGCTGACAAGTCACAAGTCAACAAGTATGAGGATCCGAGGGCTCAAGAGTTAGAGGTCATAAAACAACATTCTGAAAAAAAACATGAAATAAAGTTTAAAATGATTAAAAATGTTAAAGCTAGAATTAAAATCCTAAAAAAGAATGACATGATGCCTATCTCTCCCCATAGATACATTAAAATTAAAAACTCAATGGATAAGTTAAACCAAAGGTTACTGCTGAAGGGAGAAATATGGATCTCAGAACATTACAGAAAATAAAGCACAAAGGGATAAAGAGTTGAAAAATAAGAAAAGGATTAATAGAGATGTAAGATGGAATGTGAAGGCCCAACACATGTCTAACAGGAGTCCCATTAGGAAAGAGTAGAGAAATTGAGGAGTAGTGTAATGGCTGAGAATTTTCTAGAATTTGAGGAGTAGTGTAATGGCTGAGAATTTTCTAGAATTTATAAAACTCACAAATCCTCATTCAAGAAGCACAAGGCATCTCAAGGAGGATAAATAAACATAAGAACATCTGCATGTATTAATTATTCACAAACATACTGTTAATAAGAAAGCAGAGCCAGGAAAAATGAAATAGTTTAATAAAACAATGACAGAGGTAAGTAGAAGGCACTTAGTGAAATAGGAGAAAGGCAACTCTCCATTCCACATTTAGAGCTGCACTATATTTCTCTAAATCTTTCATCCCCAAATACAACAAATTCTGAACTATATAGTAGGTTCTTGAAGGCCTAGCTTTACCTTATATATGGTGTTTATTTACCAAGGCAAAATGGCAGAGCTCTTCCAGGAAAAATTTATTCATCGAGCCATAAAAAAAAAAAAAAGAAAGAAAGAAAGAAAGAAAAAAGGCAGGAAAATTAAAGGAAAAGAAAAAAATTCCTTCTTTTAGAATCTTACTCTGGTGGTGAAGGCAGCAGATAAACAGCCCATCATAGTATGGACAGTGTCATAATAAGGAAGTATAAATTGCTATGAAGAACATCTCAATCAGCCTTGAAGGAAAGGTTGTACCATAGGGAAGGCTTCCAGAGGAGGCAACATCTGCACTGAGAGAGCTGGTACTTTTAGGGTTAGGCCCAACTTTAAATGTCAGTACTGCCACTTATTATCTCGTGACTTTGGCTAAGTTATGCAACTTCTCTAAGCTTCATTCAGCTCATCTGTAAAATGGAATCCTTCTCATTCTTCCCAATATCCACATCCAGATTCTGGAGTGTGTGTATATATATGTATATATACACACACATACATACATATACACACGCACTTAAATATATATTAACTATAGTAAATAAATTATAGTATATATAAAGCATTTAGCAGAATGCCTGGCCTACAAACTAAATAGATGACTACTGTTATTATTAAATGAAGTACAGTGCTTTGGTGGAAAAAAAATGCCTTCTGTTTTAGAAGGTGATTTTCTTCTAAAAGCTGAACAAGACAAAGGCTTCAGCCTGCTTTCATGCAACTATCTTGAGGAATACTCAGTATCCATCCTCAGAAAGACACATTATCATGCTATCAAAATATAAAGAGTTATCAGATCTGGTCCTTTTCACAAAGGAACTTAAAATATAGTCTCCCCAAAATAACTAAGGAAGGCTGCATATGTTAAGTGTCAAATATGTGATTATCTTCAGTGTTAAATCCCAAAACTGTGACAAAATTCCTATCTGTATCATTATACCTTCAGCTTTCCAAACACAAATCAAGAGTCAAGCAGAGGAAGGAATAGATAGATGGACCCTCCTCAGTATTACTCAACAGGTTTGTGAATGACTGAGACAATGGATGGGGAAGAAATCTGTAAAGTCCAACCAATGATTCCAAGTTGCTGGGCTCTCCCAATGCTTGAGGACAAGAACACAAAGCAATCTAGCCAATCTGCAGGAATGGCCTGAATTAAAGTAAATGAAATTCAATAATGGCAAGGGTTGTGCTTGCCCTCTGGAAGAAGCACTGAACTGTGCAGTCTCAGAGAAGAAAAAATTGGCCAAGAACATGCCTTCCACTCATTCCTTCATGTACCGTGTAACAAACATTTATCTAATGTCTACTATGAAAAAGGATTTGCCTTATAAGCTGGATAAACATGAAAAAACATGAATAATCACAATGCCGGCCTTAAAGCAGCATAAAATTTAGTGACTTAAAATTCTTTTCACTTGAAACTACCCATGCCCTCCAACGTTCTTCCTTCTACTATACAGTGGTGATTTAATC